GTTGATTGGTACATGATAGGTGGCCCATGGAAGACAAACTCAGAAAATAACCGAAAGCCATAAGAGGAAATCCTCTCTATTCCCACTGGAAAGATCAAGTATTCTTGAAAGTTTCCAGCCCTCATTTCCTCAGTGGCATAGAGCAGGATACCTTAGAGATATATAAGAGGCAAGGCCCTGTTATTTTTCCTACAAAAGTTCACAGTGTAAGACCTCACTGAGAGTTCCAGTAATTACCAAACATGAATGCTAGGTACAGCTGTGAGCCCTTCTCAAAGGCAGGCCTCAGAACACATTATGAGTAAAGACCTAGAGACAGCTGAATTCTCACTCGCCACGTTCTAAAGAACCCCAAGTAGCTGCCTTCAGAAGGAGCAGGGGCATGAATGGAGATGCCCATTCAGCTGCACCATGGAGGCATTAAAGCAAGTGTTAAACTAAAGCAAGGACAAGGCGGCCCACCATGACCCAGAAGGGCCAACGCGCTGTTTAAACTAACTCCATGCCGTCCATCTTTACACACTGCTGTGCTATAAAAAGTAGCCCTTTATTCTCCTCCTTCAAACAATGCACAAAGGCATCAGGGGGAAGGAAGTTATGTTGCAATATTCTGAAACATAAATCTTGCTACCAGCCTGTCCAGGGACAGCATCCTGTTTTCCTTACACATGGATCCGATTCACTGGAGCCTACACCTATAGGTCTTGTGCTGTGTTTTCAGAAGCAACTTCTGAATAACACCTGGCCACCTCCATGCACACACCTGAACACAGGCTGTGCAGGAAGGAACCCTTGTTGGTAAGTCCAGTTACTCAGCCAACGTGTACAATTGCACACTGGCACAACTTGTTCCCACTCAGAAATTCATTCTTTCCCAAATTGTGACATTTAACTCCTTTCTCTCTCTCTCGCTCTCTCTCTCTCTCTTAATTAAATAAAAATTAAACTTGGACTCAAATGCATGGAATAGGCAAAAAGGGGAAATTTCTATTAACTACCAAGTTTTTGTGGGACCTCTGGTGGTGTAGTGCCTATGGCACTTGACTGCTAACCAGAATGCTTCAAACCCACCAGCCACTCCTCAGAAGCAAGACTGGGCAATCTACTTCCACAGAGATACAGCCTCAGAAACACAAGGAGGGTTCGCTATGAGTCGGATTTGACTTGACGGCAGTGAGTGAGTTGGGACCAAGTTTTTTAACTTTTGCTATAGTATTTTGGACCTCCGTGAGCCCAGAGGGTGGTGCAGTGTCTAAGACATCTGACTGCTAATCAGAAAGTTGGCTGTTCAAACCCAGCAGCCACTCCGTGGGAGGAGTTGCCCAATGTACTTGCATAAAGATTTAGCATCTCAGAAACCCAATGGGAGTCGCTATGAGCCGGAACTGACTGGATGTCAGTGGGTTTGGTCTGGTCTGGTATGAGCCCATGGGTGGTACAAATGAGCAACACACTCACTGCCAACTGAAAGGTTGGAGGTTCCAGTCCAGCTGGAAGTGCTTCAGAAGAAAAGACCTGACAGTCTACTTTTGAAAAATCAGCCACTAAAAACCCTATGGAATGCAATTCTACTCTGACACCGTAGGGGTCACCATAAGTCAGAATCAACAAGGCAGTAATCAGTCTATTATGTAAGTATCACTTTCTACTTTGATTAGAATTCAGAAATCCTGTGGCCAGTTTCCAATGGTATCATTAACATGCTATTTGAGTGAGGAAAAATTGTTTAACTATTGGGTGCCTTAATTTATTGTGGGAATTTGGGGTAGGTAATACTCTTATTGACAGATCGGAGATGGCAGAGACCGTGACTGCTTGGCTAGCTCGAGTACAAGGCCTTCTCAAACGGGATGAGGCAGGGCTTTGAGAACTAGAAGAAAGTTAGTACAGGTGAAAGTCCACCGGGAGAGATTTAAAGACACAGCGCTGGGAATTGACTTCCGGGAATAGATGGCTTGGTAGAAGCAGCACAAAGCCACAGCCCTTTGAGGGTTATTTTGTTGCATATTCACTTTCTCTCCAGGGGAAGACACAATTTTAGAATTCCACCTATGCTTAAAACACACTTTCTTTTCCCATTACAGGAAAATGTTTCTGTTTAACTCTAGAGGGCAGAGAGGAAAGGCATGGTCACTATGCAAATGATTCTGAAGCTGCTGCTGTTTATGACAGGATTGCCACATCTGACCTTACCCTTGGCCCAGACAAAGAAGAATGAGCTCTGTGACATCAGAGAAAATTGTGACGGGGAGTGACCTAAATAGCCATTTTTGCTCTCTTTCACTAAAACAACATCTAGTATTTTATTTAAATTGTACAACTCCTGAGTTTTTACATCCTGTATCTTATTCAATGTTTTCTTAGACATCTGACCAACTCACAGTGAGCACTGTATAAGGGAGAATTTCAGTTATTTAAAAAAAAAAAAAAAAAAACTCTAGCACAGCTCTATTGACATTTGGGGCTGGATAATACTTTAGGGGTGGTGGGTGGGTGCTGTCCTGTGCATTGCAGGGTATTTACCAGCATCTCTGGTCTCTACCTACTAGATTCCAAAAACATCTCTCCCAGTTTTAACAATCAAACCTGTCTCCAGACATTGTCAAATATTCCCTGGGAGGAAAATTGGCCCAGCTTAAGCAGCACTGCTTTAAAATGAACCTTGTATTTTTAGAGTGTGTACCTAGAAACAACTCTATCTGCGGTAGAAGGTTATACAGGGAAACAAAAGGGATGGTGTTGCATAGATTAGGCGTCTATAGATAATGAAACCAGGTGTTCAACCCAATCGCCTGAAGATGTAAATGTGAAGTTTTAGGAAAACTCATGCAGGTACTACAACCTGAAATAGGAGAACAAAAGGTCACAGAGAAAGTTGTCTTTTCTGAAAGTTGTTGTTGTTATTTGCCATCGAGTCGGCCCCGACTCATAGCGACCCCTCCTTGGGTTTCCGAGGCAGTATCACTACGGAAGTAGGATTGCCCAACCTTCCTTCCGAGGACTGGCTGGTGCGTTTGAACCGCCAGCCTTCTGGTTAGCAGTCAAATGCCTTAGGCACTATGCTACCAGAGCTCCCCTTCTGAAAGTAGCACACCCCTTTTAGTTATTCCCTAACCCTTCTTTACAACACACGTGGCATTCACCCAATATGAAATACCCGATTTTGTGATAAGAGGGCTACAGAGAGGGGCATTTTTTAAAGTACTGTTTATTTAATGCAGCATGACTTAAAATGGGCCTGTAACCTGACAAGAGTATGGAATGAGGAATGTTCAATTTACCAGTTCTAACCAGCCAAGTCCTCACTTGAACTCTCTAAGACCCGGGTGAGAAGCCTGGGAAAGTATAACTAACCACAAACCTTCTGTTTCCTCCACCTTACTGCTTCCCCCCATCCTAACTTTGCTACCTTAAGCATTCATCTGAGACACAGTTCATGCTGCAGACATAGAATAAAATCTCTGGCCGTCAGCAGGCGGAGCCCACAGCCGTAAGCTCAGCTCATCACAGTCCCAGCGTCCATGTTAACCAATACTGAAAGGAAAGATTCTGTTCTATATTTAAACATATTCAGCAAAGAGGAAGCTTGATAGGTCTTTGTAAAGGATGGCTGTCACCCACATTCACTGTTACCCTATTTGTACCATTGATACAGACTTCAAAATTAGGCAAATTTTAGGTTCGATCTCTGGTCTTTCACTTGTGAATGCTGTGATTTGGGGGCATGCCCACATCCTCTCTGAGACTCAGTGTCTGCATATGTAAAATGGGAATGATAACAGTCCCAAGGGTCAATAATAGTGCCTAGGCAATAGATGAAGGAGTTCTGGTGGCATGGTGCCTAAGGCATTTGACTGCTAACCAGAAGGTTGGTGGTTCAAACTCAGCAGCTAGACCAATAAGATGACATGGAGATGACAAAAAACACATAAAGTTTATGTGTTCCAAAATGTTGGAATTTTTTGTTACTCCTATTATTGTCTTTATTATTGCTATATTCATCATTCACTTATTATTCACTCAACAAATACTTATCTGGAACCTCCTATATGCTAAGTGCTGGAAAAACTCTAAACATTAGAAAGCTGCCTTTCTTCATGACTTGAGATTTTAATAAAATAGTGTTGAATATAAAACAAAAAATTGTCCTTGTTGGTGAGTAACAAATGCATTTAAAGTGCTTTGTTTGGAGCCTGGCACACAGTAGGTGCTTAGAAAATGTCAGATGATAATGACGGTGCTGGAGGTGGTGGTATCGACAACTAGTCGATTTGATAGTCTTTACTCAATTCACTTGCCAGAGTACTCACTCAGTGTCGGCCCTTGTAAACTATCATTTACTTTCAAGTCAATGTGTACTGATCTTAGAAGAAGAACCTCTTTGCTCAAAGTAACACCTTAATTGGAGTATAAAAGCATTCTTTATTATAGGGTAGGATTATAATACGAGTTTAAAGTCTGGGAGGTAATGCTTATTACTGAAAGGCAAGTTAATTTTGCCTATAAGTAAATATTAAATTAGTTAGGTTTAGCAGTTTTTATAATACAGAGGAATCAGAAGTATGGATGAAAAATATAATAATAATAACTGCTTACCTACTTTGTAGCCCCAATGAGGATCTAGCCCTTTGCATAGAAAGAAACATATTCTTCTATGTTAAATTTTAATGGGTACCCTTTACTGCTCTTTTTCTGTGGGGAATAGATGAAGATAAATAGGTTTCTACTTTTGTTTTCTTTGTCATTAATTCTTTCACAATTCCTCAGTGTTTTCAACAATTCAGAGTTGGTCCTTACCCTCTTCATTATTATTAAAAAAAAAAAAAAAAAATCCATTTGTTTTCCCCAAACACTTTTCCAGAAAATAGGAAGTTGTCTATCTGCGATGAAAAGTCTTTTGATGACAGCCAAGTAAGAAGGCATTATGCTTTCAGGTCTATTATAGTCTAGTCCGAACCAAGTTCAATGAGAAATACATTCCCACCAAGGGATGTCCTTACCTCGAATATGTTTGAAGGCTCATTGTTGTACTGATTGGAAATTATTTCTGATTGGTCACTGCACCACTTGAGTCCACCCAGAAAGCTGTCTGTATCCAAGTCGTTCACGTCTAGTTCAGAAAGGTCAAGTTCAGGAAGATCTGGGCAAAGAGGCTGGTCTTCACCAACCAGAGCAGCACACTGCAGGAGGCCAGGGGGAAAAAAACAAAACAAAACACTTTCATTAACCGCAGGAATTTATTAAACTGCAATAGCATGTGATAGGAATTAAGCCTTGGTTAATTCAACGACATCACCAAAGCTGGTCTCCAGGGCTTTTAATCACCAGGAAAAACATCCTAAATTCTTCAGTCACTTTACCACCAAAGGATACTTTGCTTAATATGGCAAATGTCACATCTCCGTGAAATCTTTTCTGGTTCTTCCAGATAGAAATTCACTGGATTTGTTTGCACCCTTTTGATAACACTCACAACTTTCAAATAGTTTTATGATCAGCCATGTACAAATTTTTACTCTACCTTCAGTATAATCCTTTTGAGGGAAGGATACAAGTGTGATTTTACCTTGGAATTGCCACCATCCATGATAGTAGACCTTTGCCAGATGAAAACTCAAATGTAAAAACGATGCTAGGAAAATGTTCTTCACTTATACTCCTTTTAACCATTATAATGTGCATAATCCATTTAGCAACTAATGGTGCAAAGTCTTTGACTCATCCATGGTCCTCTTAGATTGTTATCTAAATCATTTACTCTTACTTGACTTTTCATGAATTTTTGGACTTCATCCCTATAATAGGTCAAAAGCAAGGTCCTTGAGAAGAAGGACAAAAATCATGTTTTCTTACATGATCTTTATATCTTCCACTATGTATAACTCCCACTCCTCGGAAGGAAGGTTGGGCAATCTACCTCCATAGAGATACTGCCTCGGTAACCCAAGAAGAGGTCACTATGAGTCGGGTCTGACTCGACAGCACATAACAACAACAACATGTATAACTTGGGAGCTCTGGTGGCACAGTGCCTAAGGCACTTGACTGCTAACCAGAAGGCTGGCGGTTCAAACCCACCAGCCACTCCTCGGAAGGAAGGTTGGGCAATCTATTTCCATAGTCATACTGCCTCGGAAGCCCATGGAGGGGTCACTATGAGTCAGGTCAGACTCCACGGAACATAACAGCAGCAACAACATGTATCACTCACAAGCTATGTATATGGGGCGGGGTAGGGGGGAGGTTGAGTTATCTGGTTCCTGGAAAGGAAAAATCACAATAGCACACCACAACTATATTTTCCCCATTATTTATGTATCTCTAAACTATGCTCTCAGAAGCTCTGGTGGCATAGTATTTAACACATTCTGCTACTAACCAAAAGGACGGTAGTTCGAACCTGACCAATGACTCAATCCACAGCTGGACAATTAACCCGAGCCTTCATATCCTCAAGAAAGCAAGGAAGAACCACTCTGCAGGAGAAAGATGAGGCAGTCTGGTTTGGAAATGCTATGGTGCAGTTCTACTCAGTCCTACAGGGTCGCTATGCATCAGAATTGACTTGTGGCAGGGGGTGTGGGCTTGGAACTATACTTTAAGTGAATTCAAAATAAGTATTTTTCTTTTAGCTTTAAAAAAAATTGCCATCAAGTCAGCGCCAAATCATGGGGACCACGTGTGTCAGAGTAGAACTGTGCTCCATAGAGTTTTCAATGGCTGATTTTTCAGAAGGAGATTTCTAGGCCTTTCTTCCAAGATGCCTCTGGGTGGATCCAAACTTCCAAGCCTTTGGTTAGGAGCTAAGTGCACTAACCATTTACACCATCCAAGATTTCGACTCATAGAGACCCCTATTGGGTTTCTGACACAGTAAGTCTGTAAAAGTAGATGGCCCCATCTTAATTCCTCAGAGCAGCTGGTGGGTTTGAACCACCAACCTTCTTGCTAATGGTCAAATGCCTTAGGCACCGCACCACCAAAGCTCCTTTGTCACTATATTAAGAGATTTAAAATATCCTTTACCATGGTGGGGCTGCTGGTTACCAAGGCCATTTGAGATTGGCCTGCCCTTTCATCTCATGGATGGAACAGAGCAGTCTTTTAACAGCGGCTTTTCCAGGAACGTGGACCCCCTTCCCTATGTAGTGGTCTCCTAAACTTGAACTGTCTATCTTAGCTTCCAATTGCTCACTGCAGCCAGTACGCCTACTGTGAAGAACCCTGCAGAAACTGCCATTGCAGGGGCCTTATCCACCTGCAACTCTGAGGTGTCTAAATCAGCAGGCACCCACTGAAAGGACAACCTCCTGGCCCTACCTTCCAAGGTCAGCAGCAACGCTGTGTGCCGTTGCTCGCATCCAGGCAGCAGCTTGGCATGAAGCTCAAGATCCTCCTTGACATTTAGATTTTGAATAAAATAAGTTTTATGCATTTTTTTTTTTTTTCTTTTCCCCATCGAGCACCCCTGTCATCCCTGGCAGGCTACATTACACGGGTCATATGCAGCATCGTGAGCAGAAGCCACCCACTGAGAAGCAGGTACTGGGTAATGGAGTCAGCAGTTGGTAAGGGGAGGGTAGGAGGAGCCTGAACACCATAGTAAGGCTTCCCTGGGACCACCAGGCCCCGACAGATCCCAAACAGCAAGCACAAAACTAAGTCAAAGGGTAATCCTCTCAACTTAAACTCTTTCCTTATCATTTTATTGGTCTTTCCTTTTTATGACCCAGTTAGCCCAGAGTTACAGATCTGTATACTTGGCTAGGTTTCTGGGTAAGCGGAGGCTGGGCTGAAGAGAAGATTTTGTTCTGGTACAGTGTTTGTATTTTTGGTGGGTGTAGCTTCCAGGGGCCATACTTGCCCACAGGGCTTCTCCTCCAAGAACTAACACACCCTATTATTCACTCTTCTACAATACAATCGATCCAGTGACAGGGGGATAACTTCTTCAATGGTGCAAATGAATGCTCGGATTATACTGAGGAATAGTCCTTTAAAAAAATAAACAAACAGGTTGACAATGACACACAAAAATAAGCTAGAAAATGCAGAATCTTGACATCTGGCCTAAGTTCCTGTTGTGGCTAGTATAGCCTCAGCATGCTGGAATGCTCAAGGCCATACTGATAGGTGGGCACTCACTCCTGTCTAACTGCTATCTCTCTGTATGGCTTGTACAAAAACCCTTTGAGCTTCCAGACATATATTTTAAAGAACTTTTGAAAACCACTGAAAAGATTTGATTAACTTGCTGTATTTGAATGTCCCATAATTTACATGTTTTATTTCCCCCATTTTTTTTTTCTTTTCTCCTTTTCTTCTTTCCTTCCTCCTTCCTGCCCTCATCTCCCTTCCCTCCCTCCCTCCCTCCTTCCTTCCATCCTTCTTTCTCTCTTCCTTCCTTTCTTTCATCTTTGATATTCTGTTATGGTTGAAATAAAGGGCATGGGCTCTTGCCAATGTTGACATGCTAATAAAATCAGTCTCTGAATGTGGCATTATCTTGCTAATCTAAAACACATTAGTAGTAGCAAGTGTTCCTGTTATTAATTTATATCTGGCCTTTGGATGATGCCAGACTTAACAGTCCGAGCCCTGTAACTGTCCTCATCTGACATGCTGATATTTACCGCTTCTGTCTGCATCTGTAACAGGTGTGCTTTATGGCAATTACAGAGACACATCCTACTGCCTCTTTGCAACTATGACAGCTACTTCACACCCAACTGTAGCCTTAATTTTATAATAAGATTTAGGAGGATAAAGCAGTCACTAAACACAAAAGGCTAATTATTGTACGTTATTTCACCCCAACAGACTTTTCTCTTAGTTAAGGAGCAGACAATAAATTAGCTTAACTACACTGATGATAATGAATCATTATAATTAAGCATAATTCTCCATTAACCTTTTGGAGCTTTTTGTGCCATTGATGGTAAATTTTAAAGAAAAAAGGAAGAAAGAGTGGACTTGGCCACATTAATTACATTAATGAAAAAAATAATCTTATTTCTTAAAAAAAAAAAAAGAATTAGTCATGACAGAGGGAAAGAGGTGTGGAGGGGGCAGTAAAGAGTGACAGTCTTAGTGGAGTATATGTCATGTGAATTGTCTCTATCAATCTTAGTAACCTTACTGTACACCACCTTCATTAAACTGTGAAGCACTGGGGACTCTGAGTAGCTATAGTGATACAGACCTTTATTAACCAATGTGCTGTCCTGTCATGATGTGCAAAAGGGCATAATACGTTTTAGGATGACAGCAAACATTAATGATTCAAAAAATGAAAGCTGCCTAAGCTACCTGCTACTGGTAATACTTTAGACTGGCGGAGGTGAGCCTCAGCTCTATGGCAGCCAAGGCAGGGCGTCTAGCAGATCGCTGCTCACAGTGCAACAGAGAAGCCGCTGGTCAGTCTGTGCCGACCGATGACTCAATCCACAGCTGGACAATTAGCCCAACCTCTCAAATCCTCAAGAAAGCAAGGAAGGAAAAAAAAAAAAAAAAAAAAGGCCACTCTCCTAAATGCTAAGGATGCTTATTTGAAAATGACTGCAGGAATTCCAATGATTAAAATAAATCCTCTATATTCCCATATGATCTAGTTCCCCAATCCACTGCCAGTAGCATCAGGAATAATACATGATGGAAAAACGAAACTACAGCAGCTGAGACCCACCGTGCCAGCCAGCCAACCAGCCACAGGACACTCTAACTCCTCAAAGACAATTAGGACTTTGAAGCCACATATTACCCCAATTCGTCATAGCTACAGGATATACCTCTATCGATCTCGCCCCACCAAGAAATCACAACAAGATAAAAACCATTACAAGTTGCAAATACCATCTGCCAAGGCAACGGAGGGCAAACGGAGCCAAACCCAGCAAAGGGTTAAGAATCCAGGGCATGCCTGGCTAGATAGGAAAAATGCATTCACTGACGGCCTTCGCCAAACTATTTTCACTTTTAGATGTCTATTGCTGCACCACATGGACATCTTATTTAATCAAATCACGTGTGGTGCTCGATCCTCCCCCTTACCCTACGTGCCCCCAGCTACCCAGAGGAAGCACTCTGAGTCCTCTGCCAGGTTCATTGTTAGCAGCTGGGATCCTCCATGCAAGTCAATTCGGGTCCATCTCACCAGAGTCCACAGAAAGTTTTGCTTGTTTCCCAAGTTGCCCAAAGTTTCGGAGCACATTCCACCGTGCTGAATGCAAACAGGCAGAGGTCCTCCGCCCCCTGCTAGTCGCTCTAGACTCCAGAGGTTACGCGGAAACGGCTTGCTTTTTTTCCCCTGTATGAATTGTAGCCAGCAGAGGCTGTGGAATTGATGTATTGCCGTCTATTTTTACACAAGCAGCGAGCAGCTCCACACACAGTCCTGCATAAACTATTCTCTCAACGGATTCAGGCGGCTCTCCGTGCTACAGGGAGATTTAACCATTGGCTTCCCTGCCACGGACGCTAATGGAAAACCTCGCACTGGCAGGCTATTTATTTATTTATTTTGGGGTGGCAAATTTTCCCACCACAGACAGAAGTTTAAAAGGAAGCAGCATCCTTGTTGTGTGTTCTGTGGGGGAAAGCAATCTAAAATAAAACCCCAACAGAAATTATTTAGGATACTGTGAGTTCACTGTCTGATGAACAGAAAGAGAGGGGTTGGGGGGGGGGCGAATCCGGATAAGAGAACGGACTATATTTGAACACATTCATTTTAATATTTGTGTCTTTGTCTTATTATAAATAGAAATGGCATTTTTCCAACCAGGCCACAAACAGCACTGGGAAGACTTGGGCTTCTGATTCACATCAGTATCTTAGAGCATAAATATTGCATATGACTGGAAACAGAGCCAAAGGCACATGGAAAGAGTTTCCAACTGCAACAGATAACTGATGACAGCAGCGGAGCTTTGATTTGCTCAAGGTATGGCAGAGCCACCTTAAAATAGCAAACTTACTGGAGTTAAGATTGAGATTCTCTTCCAGAAGCTCCTGCCCCTGCTACTTCTCCGCCTTCTCCCCTCGCCCAAGCTGCCGCCCCCTTTAGGAGAATAATTGCATCCCAGCGAAGCTTATGTCCTGGCTGCAATGCCCAACCCAGCCCCAGCTCACCTCGATGTCACTCCATACAGAGTCCTGGTTGCACATGTCCCACGCCATGCAGCTCTTGAATGACGCCAGTCAAGCTTTTTCAACTCCAGTCCACAGTGACACGGAGCACACACTCATGCAGGCGACCAACCCCTTACTGAGAGTGAACTGAAGGCACCTGTCTTACTACAGTCCCCAGTCACATGACAAAGCTATTAAAAAGTAGGCTGGGCTGTCACTCACCCAGCCTCCCTTCTCCGTGCAGCTTGCTGCTCAAACTCGTGACGTCACTCAAAGGCAGCCCTCTGCCTCAGTGAAGTAACGCTTAACAAAAAAAAAAAAAAAAAGCAAAAGAAGAAAGAAAGGAAACACTTGGACTTTTTTTGAGGCTTCAAGCATCCTGCTGTGATTAAAGCCAGCTTTGAATGCCACAGACTGTAAACGGAGCCCTGGCCATATAATAACTCAAATCCTCTGCAATCTTTTTTTAATTTATTTTTCTTCCCAAACAAGCAAGTGCCAAAGCTCTCTGTTCCATGGCAGAGTAACTATATTCTTAGCTACAATGTGTATTCCCTAAGGACTGGAAATTCTAAGATCTCCAAGTGGACTCAGGCTGAGTTTGGACTAAAGCAGGAGCTTATCACATGATGCATTTTTATGAGATATTTTCTAATTGGGGGAGTGTTTGGACTCAGCGAATGGGGCATTTGGGGCTTGTTTAATCAACAAAACAGACGTATTTGTTAAGGTATAAACAAACTTGTCCACCCAGAAATCAGCTGTCCCTGAGGCACCAGGGAATACCAGCTCCCGAAGTGTGACTGCAGTTTGCTTTGCTCCATATAAGGACAACAAGCCACAATATACCACCCTTGCAGGTTCCTCCTGATTATTTCCATTTCTCTCCTAGGCTTCCAGAAAACAAGTGTTAGTAGATACAGTTGAGGCTGCTCTACCCAGAATAGCTTAGTCTCCCCTCTGCCTTTTTTCAAACATGTAGCATTTCCTCCCAAACTGCCTTCGGGTGCCTTTTTGAATAAACACTGGATTTCCAACTCCTGTGCCCCGGGTTGTGCAGCCTGCCTTCCAAACCAAGAACGTCCAAAGAGTTAGGGAAAAATACCGACACACTCTTAGCAAAAAACGTTCATTTCTTGAGCTTTTTATTTATTTATTTATTTCCCTGCCTCTACCTTGAGACAATGAAGGGTAATGCAGGTGCAACTCTTTAATGATGACACTACATATTGAATACACAACAAACTCAAAGTACTAGCTACCTCGGAAAAACACTTGCCAGCAGAGTCCTGGGAGAAGTACACACACACACACACACACACACACGTTCGTGAATATACATAATGTCATAAAATTTTAAACCCAACATACTTTTAAAATCAGTTCAATTCCTTTACTTGATAATAATTTATCTGAGAAAAAAAATATCCCCGGGTGTCTAAAAATAATTATTTAGCACTCTTAATTTAAACTCCTGGTTTGTTGAAGTTAATTGAATGTTTCCTCTATTGCCATTTCCTTATGAAAAAAAAAAAAAAATGGTGATTTGCTAACACATTTTAAATATTAAGATGTGTACATATTTAAGTACACAAAAAGAAAAAGTGTAAAGAAAAAACAGAATGTTTTTTTCTTCCAAACACATATATAAGAGATTTGTCGACTCTGATATCTGCAACAAGTTGCCGGTCAATTCCTGAACAATACAATGACATTGACAGTTTGCCATTACTGGAAATGGAAAGGTGGCCAAAAGCTTTGACATTTTAAGTTAGCTGAATGCATTCCACGGGCACATTTTTTTTTTTTTTCTATTATAAATAGTGGAAAATTACCGTAGTTTTAATTTTCTTAGTCAAGAAGAACAGTAAAATACAGCCTCGGGAAGGCTTTTATACATGCAATTAGTAGCATTACTTTGCACTCCACACAAAGAAACATTAAATTTCTTCCTGATTACATTGTTATTTCATGTAAAACTTCAGTAAATTATTAAAATTCAGGGGAAAACTCATTGACTCTCCCCTCAACATAATCAACTGTGAAATAACACTGGTCAGTTGGCCAAGATGATTCCATATTTATTAATCATCATCACTTTGGTGGATATTCGCTGATACTGACATTAATTGTGTCACTGAATGCTAACAATCCATTGTGCAAATATATATATTTTTTTTCATTCTATTTACACATTTAAGAGAAGGTCTTAGAGAAGGTCTTTACACTAGAACATCTCATACTATTGTTTCTGACATTTTGACCTGTCCAAATTGTATTTTGGGGTTTTCTTGTTTTGTTTTGTTTTGTTTTTCCCACCTAATTCCATTTTTCTTACTCAATTTTATATATTCATTGAAACAAGAAGTGGTTTTATACAAGCTTTCATTTTTTTTTTCCTTGAAGAAGATTTTTAGGAGAGGAAATAAAATAATATATAACTATATTTAAAAAAAAAACAAAAACATTTAAATGACTTATAACCTACAGTATGTTGTAATTTTTTTTTCCTTAAATAACTACTACCATACGAACCAAAATTTAAATAGATTTTTGGGACAAGTTAGAGCAACTTTATTTATGTGTGTGTTTGTGTGTGTGTGTGTGAAAATTACAATTAACGAGAGGGATATATTAGAGGTCTTAGAATTTGACTAACTCTTAGATTAAAAATGCCCTTCCCTTCTGTCCAGTTCATTTTTAATTCTCTTTTCTCGGGCAACTTTAAATCGTTGGTTGCTCACCAGTATTGGTCTGTTCTGGCTCCCAAGATGGTTTCTATATTTAATTCCCTGGGTGCCTTGACTGCTTCTCTTCCCCCTTCCCTGTCCTCCTTCCACGGCCTTTGTCAACTCGCCCTCCAGGATTTCCAAATGTTTGGTTTCAATTGACAAGGATCTATTGAAACCTTACCATGTGCCCAGCGATGCATTGCAAGGACTGACAAGGAAGCATATGATATGGAGAAGAGGACGCTCACAATTTTAAGGAAATGGCAGCCCTTAGAAACAGAGAATGGTTTGATGTGAGAAAACAGTGCCATTTGGTTAAATATCTAGATCACTCTTCTGCTCCTTACAACACATCATTTTAGGTACAAGGTCCTCTCACTGACCATTGCGATTCACACCTGAATCAACCCCATTCAATCTCAACAATAGAAAGAGGTATTTATTAACATCTATTGAGTACCCAAACATTCCATCTACACAGAGCCTAGATTCTGCCCCCATGGACTCTCCCCTTGGTTGTTCTGTTAACATTTTCCACATTGGTGGAGGGAGGAGAAGAATGTCTCCTTAGATGTGATAACAAGACAGGGGGAAAAAAAAATCAATGCTACAACAACAATACTTGGCTAAGTGTACAACATCTGAGTTTCCTTCCTCAGTCCTGCCCCAAATTACAGGCTTTTTCCACCTTCCACATTTTAGACAACTGCCCAATTCTAAAAAATAAACACGATCAAACTCAAATACCCAAGACTATAGAAAGTAGCAAAGACAACTAACTGATTTTGATCTTCATTACCATATTGTAGACAGGTGAGAACTCAGAAGTAAATGGTGACTAGTGTAATTATCTTCACACAAATATCTTTGGACATTTGTTCTTAACAAGAGAAAAAATACAAGGCTGACCCTTTTCAAGGAAGAAATGTGAAGGAGAGCTATCATGGGCTAGAAGTTACAATCTATACTTCATATGCTGCATCTCAGTCAGTTTAAGCCTTAAACCCCTCTGTAAACATTATCTGTGTCCCCAGTTTAGAACCGTGGAAAATAAGGCAAAGCAACAGTTTATACAGCAGCTGGAAAGATCATGCTGATCTCTGAAAGCCCCTCTAGAAAAACTAAAGTTTTCTACATAAAAATAATATTCATTTCCCAAAACAAAGACCCAGCAAAAAGTCTCAAGGCAACTTTATATCCGTGACATAACTGGAAACCAACATTCCTGGGAAGCAACCTTCCTAGAGCATTCTTCCAGAAAGAAAAGGAATCTGCCTGGAATGGCTAATATTTGCAAAGTTAATCATCACTAACAGGCATTCGGTTCCAACTTGCTTTTAATTCTTTGTTGTTGTTGTTGTTATTTGCCGTCGAGTCAGCCCCGACTCATAGCAACCCCTACTCAGGTTTCTGAGGCAGTTATCACTACGGAAGTAGGATCGCCCAATTCTTAGGGAAGCTAATTGATCCTTACCCCCAAGTTCAGTTTCTGCACACAAGTTTTGGGTCTTTGAAACATGTTTGAAGCTGAGGCTATGCAAAGCGTAAAAGTTAGTGGCAGGGTAGGGTACAACAAGATGTCTAGCCTACACCAAAGCCAAACCCACTGCCATCAAGTCAGTACTGGCTCATAATGACCCAATAGGACAAAGGAGAACTGCCCCATAGGGTTTTCAAGGCTGTAAATCTTTATGGAGCAGACTGCCTCATCGTTCTCCTGCAGAGCAGCTGGTGGGCTAGATTTTTGATTAGCAGCCAAATGCTTTAACCATGGCACCACTAGAACTCCTTGTTGTTGTTGTTGTTGTTGTGTGCCGTCGAGTCAGACCCGAATCATAGCAATCCCTCCTTGGGTTTCCAAGACAGTATCATTACTGAAGTAGATTGCCCTATCTTCCTTCCGAGAAGTGGCTGGTGGGTTTGAACCACCAGTCTTCTGGTTAGCAATCAAGTGCCTTAGGCACTATGCTACCAGAGCTCCCTCTAGCCTATAAATGCCCTGAAAGTAAATCTTGTTTTTCCTTGCCATGGTGAAGTCAACATGAATAAAGCCTCTTTGGTGAAACAAAGAAGAAAGGCAGTGGACAACTTTAATGCCTCCTAGCATTATTATTTATGTTTTTATTTAAATAAACTAGAGGTGAGAAACCACCTCGGCAAACCATCTCTCATCTCTAGTAAAACCATCTGCAAACCAGCTCTATAGACTGAATCAGCCTATATTTTAACTTGGATCTCAAAATTTGCTCTGGGCATTTTTCATTTTAAAACAGAAAAGTGAATGAAAATTAATCCAAGTTGCAGTCCATTGGGGTA